CACACACACACACACACACACACACACACACTCTGAGTCTCTGCAGAATTACACCAGTGAATCCCAGCTCCTCCTCTGTATGCAGACACAGTCTCTCCAGCACTGAACTCAGGAGACCTGCTTCATCAGCAGAAGATGTGGGGGTGGATGGGGGGGTTGGTGGGGGTGGGGGGGGGTGATCTATACTTGGTGGCAAACAAACTGTGATGAAGCAAATCTTCAGTGTGAAGAAGAGAAAGGATTTTTTAAAGCAGCAAAAAGCTGCAGAGCGACACTTTGTTTTTAATTCTAATCTAAACCTGAACCTGAACCCGAAGTTAAATTTATCCTTACACATAAACATAACTCTGTAGGGACAAGTGTCCATCATGTGTCCATCATGTGTCCATCATGTGTCCATCATGTGACCGCGTGAACAGATTTGAGATGAATCAGTTTGAACTAAAATCCAGTTTCACTGCAGGGTTTAATGATCTTCTCTAAATACAGAGATCAGCTGAAACGGTTCGGAGCTTCGTCACTGACAGAGAAACCCATCATCTCCTGAGCAGAGGTAATTAGAGCTGTTGCCCTGAGAAGCAGCGTTTAATTCTCTCACACATCGATCCAGCTGCCTCAGCGGAGGAGACGCTCGTTCATCAGGACTGAACTGATCGCTGCTCCCCTGCAGGAGGCTGCAGCTGGAAACTGACTCACTGACGACAACCTCCATTTATCAGCTCACACATCACCCTCTCCTCCGGGGAGGTGATGAGGGAATGCGGTTCATCTGACAGCGAGTCGTCCGGTCACATAGTGAACATATCTGCGTCGGTTCTATATGGTTCAGCTTCATCAGCAAACAGGAGACAAACAGCAGCTCAGTGCAGGAAGTCATGAGGGGAAAATCGAGTTAAGTTGGAGGAGCGCTGGTCATCGAAGGACGTGACCGTGATTTAGTTTTTATGGCTTCGACACGAGTTGTAGACAAAAGGTGTTTAAGTACTTTTAAACCTGAAGCTGAGAGATTTACAATGAACCCAGTATTGTGTGAATCCATGGAGTTTGGGATTTAGTGGCATCTACAGGTTAGGTTGAATATGACAACTAAAGCAGACACACTTCCTGCGTAGATGTAAACGTTTATCCGACGGTAAATTATTATTCTGAGTTTTAGGTGATTATAAACTCTGAAAAATATAATTATGGATATGAAACTAATTTCTGAATCCTTCACACTGGACCTTTAATATTTTAACTACTGCATCAGACATTGTTGATGTCACTGACCGATGATTTGGACGATAGGAAATTATTATCATTCACTCAGGTTTATTTTGAAGGACTCTTTTTGTGTCCACATACTTTTGTCACCTCCGTGTCGCAGTAAATGCTCTCTAACGAGGAAACGGATGAAATATAAGAAAGAGTTGAGTTTATTTTCAGCTCTTACTCGAACGTACACAGGTCTGACCTCGCCTGCTGCAGAGAGCGAGCGCTCGGAGCCTAATGCTGCAGTAAGCCTCAGAATAAAGGAGCTCTTATGTATCTTTCCACAGTGGCTTTGTGTACCTGGCACCGCGATAAGCTCGTCCACAGCAACGTGCACATTTCAACATTTTCTGAATTCTTTGCGTCTTTGTGCTCTTTTGTCTCCTGTGTCTTTTTTTTTCTTCTGTGTGAAAATCACCATCACCATCATCATCATCATCATCATCACCTGATTGCCCTCCTCCTCCTCCTCCTCATTATCATTATCATCCCCATTGTCCTCCTTCTCATCCTCATTCTCATCACCCTCCTCCTCCACCACCTTCACCTCCTTCTCCTCATCATCATTATCATCCTACAAGTCATCCTCACCATCATCCTCCTCCTCCTCATCATCAATCATCATCACCATCCTCATCATCCTCATCCTCATCCTCATCCTCATCCTCTCACCAGCACTGCACTGAAACGTTCCTCCAGCTCGTCCTCAGGAGGCATCGGGAGTTTCAGCCCTGCAGTTTGCTTCTGGGGCCCCGCGGAGCCCTGAGGGGCCGGCGCCGGCTTCCCCTCCTTCTGGAGAGGAACCTCCATACTTCCTGCTGCATTCCCCATGACTGTAAATCCAACAGGTCCAAAAAACACGCACATATGCACAAGATCCTGCTCTTAATCAAAGTGTTGGACCGCCTATAGATGAAAAAACAGCCTGTTCCTGGTGTTTAAAGTTCAGTTAAAGGCTCTGCGGCTCTGGACTGTGGCCTTTCCTTATGTCCATGACCCCTGCACTCTGTCCATTGTCCATGTCCTCCAGCAGACATGAAGCTCAGCTCTGAGAGAGACTCAGATGCATTATGAAATCCTAGAAAGAGGGAAAGGGGATATCCTGAGGAGTGACAGACAGGGTGACAGCTGAACAAGTGAAAGAGGGGCCGGAGGAGAGAGGAGTCACGGGCCGAAGCTGCAACAAGGAAAGAGAAGAAATGAAAGAAGAAGAACGAGGGAAGGTGTCCCTCCTGTTTCTGTCTGCACAGGTGAAGCAAAATAAAAAAAACTCTGGAGGAAACTGCTCCCAAAGCTGCAGAGCTCTCAGGTGAAGAGGCTTAGTTGTGGTTGCATGTTAATCTGTGGAGGTCGTCCATGTGCTGATGCATGCTGGGAGTCTGTGGATCCTTTATCTCCATATTCAGAGGAAATTAAAAAAAAGAGGCAGAGCTCCAGCAGGCCGCCGCTCAGTCTGACACAGAAACACTGAGAGAAACTGGAGGCTTCACTTCAGCAGCACGGAGGGAGGCGCAGAGAAACTGGGTCCTAAAGCCTCCAGGTTCAGGCTGCACCGTGTGTAGTGGGCGTGTCTCTGAGGTTTCTAACACGTGACGGACGTGACACTGGAAGAACACAAATATCTCAGGATGAAGAAGAGGAGTCGTACACGTAGAAGACGAAGACGAGCTTTTGGTGATGAGGGCCGACGCCGGTGTGGACGAGCTGTAAACAACAAAACTGATGAATTTATGTCATGTCCCGCCTCCTGCTGCTCTACAGGCTTCACCCCTCGCCTGGACGCCCCCCACATGTTCCTGTTGTTGTGAACGAGTCGGACGACTCACTGACTACACAACATGACGTCACAACATGTCCACACCAACATTCCCGGGGTCTGAAACACACAAAGTAGAAACAAAGAATCTGCTGCTGTAACAACATGGCAGCTCCCTAAAGTGAAGCCGAATATTCCTGCCTGCCCCCTGGTGGCCGGCTGCAGTATAAGTTATGGATCAAATGCGTCACGTCTACGATCGCGGCCTCGTTCACACCTTCGCAGACTCACACCACAACAGTTGCGACGCGACAGAGGAGCACGCGATGACGTCACTGTGTTAGTGACACTGAGCCGTTTGAAATGTTACTGGAAGCAGCGCTGGTTAATAAGTGATGAGTCACTGATACCTGGTCACGCCTGGTCACGCCTGGTCACATGACCCGGCACTCATGATGTCAGCTGATGAAGCGTGACTCATTCAGATGAAGAACTTTGTTCACTGGGTTTTTCTGTAATTCATCCGTTTTGCTTCCTGTTGTTTGTGTCACAGCAATAAAAATAAATAAACTGTCCTCTAGTTAACAGGCATTAGGGCGGCATCTAGTGGTCAAATCATTACATTACAGCTGGACAGCACTTCTAAAAGTTTCTAAAGTTTCCATGAACAAAGATGTAAAATGTGTTTAAACCCAAAAATACTCTGAGGAGACGTTTGATGTGTTTTATTCATCACTCGAAGAAAAACTGAGTCTTTCAAAGATTCATTATAAACATCAAAGTTTAATAAAAGAAGCAAGAAGACGGAAAAAATATCCATCAGGACAAAAAACATTGAACACTTTTTATTTAACACACACACACACACACACACACACACACACACACACACACACACACAGAGTTTAAAGATCAGACAAGCATGACTCACTGCTGCCACCTACAGTATGAGTGCGGTTTCACTATCACCACGACGATGGCCGTGTGTTTTCATCCTTCAGCTCTTTGTGCAGTCACTGAACTTCTCTGTAGGTTAACATGTAACATGTATGTGACCAGAGCAGAGAGGACGTCAGCTGCGTCGTCTCCTTCACTGAACATCATTCGTTTCCTGGGAACTGAAACCTCGAGGGAATCTGAAGAGGCTGCGTTCCGGTTGCGTCGGAGAGGAAACTGAGTGCACGGTGAGAGCCGGCGACGAGGGCGACACTGAGTTCACCACCTCTGGCACCACGTAGAGACCGCGTAGACATCCTGAATCGCGGACGAGCCTCAGCACATCGATGCGGAAGCGCACGCCCACCAGGGCGTAGAGGACGGGGTTGAGGCAGCAGCGGGCGTACGCCAAAGTGCGGGTGACGTACTCCAGCAGAGGGCCGCAGAACTGCCCCGCTATCTTACGGGACAGCACCACGGTGTAGGGCAGCTGGAAGAGCAGGAACACCAGCACCAGCGCCACCATCAGCTTCAGGGTTCGCTGCCGGTGCCACTGCTTCCCTCGACGATGGCGGTTCCCTTCCCACAGCACTCGAGCAATCAGAGAGTAGCACGTCACCATAACGAAGAAGGACACGCAGAAGACGGCAATGATGGCGCCGTTGGTGGCCATCTTGACCTTTCCGCTCTTTACCATGCCACAGTAATATTTCACAATGTCTTCAGGGCCGAGCTCCGACACCCCGGAGAAGAGGATTTCAGGTAGGCTGAGGAGGACGGCAACAACCCAGACGCCCAGGGCGGCCATCTTCCCTGCTCTCAGGATCTGACTGCGCAGCCTGAACACCTCCTGCGCTCGAGCCACCACCAGGTAGCGGTCGACGCTGATGCAGGCCAGCAGCAGCAGTCCGCTGTAGGTGTTGATGGCGTAGCAGGCTCGCGTGGCCTTGCAGAGGGGGACGGAGAAGATCCACCCGTGGTGAGTGTGGACCGCCTCCAGAGGGAGCGTGAGGAGCAGGAGGAGGTCAGCCAGCGCCAGGTGGAACAGGAACACGTCCGTCATAGAGCGAAGCTTGAGGCGGCGATAGAGGGCGAAGGTGGCGATGACCAGGCAGTTTCCCAGCATGCCCAGCAGGAAGATGAGGCAGAAGACGCAGGTCTGGAACATCTTGATGGTGAACTCCTCCTCGCCAGCCTCACACCAATCAGAGGACGGGTCGAAGTAACTCTGCTCCGAGCCGTTGCTGATGTTCCAGAGCGAGTCGTTCAAAAGGGCCTCGTCAAAATAAAACATCTCTGGTGAGAAAAACATAAACACCGGGTAAATAACACAAAGACGATTTTAAACGTCATCATCTGGTGACGTCACAGTTTCCAATAGATAACGTGTCTCGGGGGGGGGGGGACGTTAAAACTGTTGCTCTACCAGGTGTCTCTCTGCACCTTCATCAATATCAAGAGTCCTTCTCGGTTTCTGCAAATTCTCACATTGAGACAAACGAGTGTCGGAACAGAATCTGAATGACTAATTTCATATCCAGGTTGCGTGAGACTGGCAGCAGGTCGTTGGCACCAGAGGAAACCGTAGGCAGAGTCGAGGTCCACAGATCAGTCAGCGTCGCGTGTCATCTCCCTTGATCAACTGTTTTGTGTGTCTCTGCCCAGGACGCAACGTTTAAACTTCACTCATGACTTCTTATTTTCTAATTTCTCCTCATGTGATGTTGGAGGAGTTTCTCCTGAAGGTAAGAGAGAGGTTTGGTTTGGAGCTGTGAGATGTGTTTAATATTTAATATTGTGCGTTAAGATGTTTTTAGATGTTCACTGAATTCTCAGAGTCGCTCTGGTGCCGCTTGATTAAATTTCAGAGACGGTTTGACCTCAGCTGACGTCTTCTGATGTTCTGGTTATCTTTCTAATGATTTAATTAATTCAGGGTTATTTAAGTTTTTAAATTGAGTTAAATTAAGTTTTTCATGACGAACCCGAAGGTTTGTCTCGGAGACAGGAACAGGAATCACTGACACAGCGAGACGTGAGACCGACTGCAATCTATTTGTTAAATTTTGTTTTTAATATTTATTTTATTATTTGTAATGTTTTATTCTTATTTGATGTTATACAGTTTAATCATTTATATTCTATGATTTCGGGATTTTATAATTTTATAATCTTCAACTTCTAGCATACCATTAAATATTGGTTGTTATTAGTCATATTTGAATAGTAAATAATCTAATGCTTGGTTTTGTACAAATTATTTGTGAAATCTCGCAGTATTGAAATATTTGTTTTACTTATTAACATATTTCTGCAGTTTTTTACGCACACACACAAACTAATGTGAGGTTCAACCACAAGCTGTGAAATAATTTGTGACGCTAATTAGATCAAATTAGAGAATTCAGAAATTTTCCAGCTCAACTATCTTTTGTTTTTTGTCTCAAATAAATGATTTGCATTTTATTTTATATTTATTTGCAAACTTTTACAAATATTTTCAAAGTTCTGCATCTAAACAGATTCATTCACGGAGTTTAAATGTTGTTAATTATCATTTTCAACTGTTGCATGTGACCTTTACTTCCGGCAGTTTGAGTAAATATGTTAAGATTCATAAGATCTGATCAAAATTTTAAACCTTAAAAATATTTCTTATTCCAAATTTTAAATATGATATTTATCTGTCACAGTTTGTGTGTGTGTGTGTGTGAGAGATAAAACATTAATTATATCACACACGTGACACACGGATTTATTTTCTACAGAATTTTACAAAATATATTTTATTTGAGTTTATTTGAAAAGAATCTGCAGCGACAGTTAAAATGATTCTCGTATAATCGTGACACAGAATCATATTTTGACTCACACGAGGGTTTTGATTTGATTAGTGAGAATTTAACTTCACACTTGAAGCCGCGGTCACAAACAGTTGGCTCACTTTCTCTTGCTTTGATATATTTTTTTTACTTTTCTAGTAATGATGCACGTTCATCCAGTGGTTTATCCTGCGACACGTACTCACCCTTGATATCAAACAACAGATATTAATGATGAGTTTCACTCTCAGGTGATCTTACCTGAGCTGTCTGAGAGTTTACTCATGTCCTGAAGTCGTCCTCTTGTCTCTGAGGTCGAGGTCTGATGATGCTTAAATACAAACCTTCATCACCTCGGTGTGCCCCCGTACCGCACACACACACACGCACACACACACACACACACACACACACACACACGGACACACTGATGCCTCCTGGGATTTTGAATTTACGCTAATATATTTTTGAACCCACGTACATTTGTCAGTTTTTTAAGATTTAATTTGGTGATTAAACCTGAAACACGATCAACATTGAGCTTCGTGTTTCGACCTGAGGAACAATCAGCTCAGACTCATCGAGTCAAACATTCAGAACCAGAATTCACCGGAATATTTTATAAAATGCCTGAAAAAAAAGAACAAATGATATATTCATCTGTAAATATCTTTTCTTTTGTTTGCATCTTATCTTCGAGTTCTCTGAGTTTTAGGCCTCGTCTTCGTTACCGCAGATTTCTTTTTAAACTGAAAATGTATTTGTCTCTTTACTGAAGAGTGTGATGTCTCGGTTTGACGACAGAACTTCTTGATTTGATGTTCAAACGTTTTGTGCTGGCGCTCAGATATTTTGCTGCAGGTTCGGCTCGTCATCGCGCTTTTCCTCTGCTCTCGGATTTGTCCGCACCTGGTTCTGAGAGACCTGTTGCACAAAAACCTCCAAGAGCAGCAGATTGTTGGGCCAAACACCGAGGAAAACATTTTTTGCATTAGTGTTGACAGGTCGGTTTCTGTCGTATTTCACTTCCTGTTTTATGTTGAAACTTTCCAAATGTTCTAGAATGTCATTGGGGTCTTCGTGCACACACACACACACACACACACACACACACACACGTGTATCCCAGAAGCCTCAGTGTTTGACCCTCCTCTTCCTCACCTGTTCTTTGCTGTTTTTGTGATGTTTTGTGCGTAAAGACACTTTTCTTTCTATGTTGTCGTTCTGCCACTGTCACAGTTTGTACCATCGTGTTGGCATTATCGTGTGTGTGTGTGTGTGTGTGTGTGTGTGTGTGTGTGTGTGTGTGTGTGCTCTGATCAGTTAACAGTGACGAGCATCAAACCGCAGTGACCTTGTGTTTGCAATGGGCCCCAGATGTTGAGATGTGCTCTGGTTGTTCTGACCACAGACCTCAGCCTCTCCCTGTTTGTTCACGATGTGAAACTAGCGTCCGACGCTTCAACCCGTGCACAGGTTCAACAGGCAGCGGCTCGGTGGCATCACGGTTTTTTTAGTTTTCTTCGTTTTGTGTGTTCATCTCTGAAATTCACATCAGAAACTTCTGTTGAGAGCTGATTGTTAAAATGATGACCTCAGAAAAACTTGTTTGGTGTTTTCATTCTTTTGTGTGTGTAACGTTTGTGCAGCAAAAACTGTGGGTGTGTGTGTGTGTGTGTGTGTG